GGGTCGGAGCAGACGCTGCTGGGCGGGTCGGCGGCGGGGCGCGCGGTGGAAGGGGAGGGGGAGGCGGAGGCGGAGGCGGAAGGGGAGGGGGAAGGCGGGAAGGTGGGGGGCGGTGACGCGGTAGGCGAGGCGGGCGTGGCGTCGGCGCCGGCGCCGGAGATAGTGGAGAGCCCGCCGTCGCGCGCGCCGTCGCTCAGCGTCTTGGAGCAAGAGCTCGAACGCGGCGCGCTGAACCCGCTCAACCGGCCCGCTCTCCACGCGCGCTCCTCGGGCGGGTCGTCGGGCGAGTCTGAGAGGACGCCCATGCCAACGCCTATGCCGACGCCGCTCACGTCGCCCGGCGCCGAGGCGCGCCTAGAGAGCGAAGCGATGGCGGTGGGTGCCGCGGAGCCGCGGGGGGCCGGCCCGAGCGCGGAGGATATCGTGGAGAGCACGACGTCCCGCGCGAAGCCGCTCATCGCGCTCGAGCGCCTGCGGCGCATCGCGCGGGGTACGCATACGTCGCCGCCGGCGCCGGCGCCCGCCTCGGGTCCGGGTCCGGACCAGGGCGCGGACGCAGGCTCGCCGCGCGTGCGGCGCGGGAGGCGGAACGCGGCCCCGGCGGGCCTGGGCGCGGGCGCGGTGGGGATGATGGACGTGTTCGCGGTGATGGCGCAGATCAACGAGCAGCTGGAGGCCGCGGCGGACCTCGAGGCGTTCCTGGGCGTCGTCGTGGGCGTCGTGCGCGAGCTGTCGCAGTTCGACCGCGTGATGGTGTACCGCTTCGACGAGCTGTGGAACGGGCAGGTCGTCGCGGAGCTGGTGGACTGGGGGCGCACGCGCGCGCTGTACCGCGGGCTGCACTTCCCCGCGAGCGATATCCCGGCGCAGGTGCGTGGCTTTTCTGAGGACGGTGTGTGGTGGGCTCATGGGATGGGATGGGCAGGCGCGGCAGCTGTATGCGATTAGTGCGTCGTGTGGGCTGGTTTTGTGCGCGCTGAGCGCTGATGCCCCGTAGACAAGGTGCGGCTGCTGTACAACCGCTCGCAGAACACCGCGCGCATCGTCGTGCGCAGTAAGGAGGATCTCAAGGTCCCTCTGGTGCGTCCCGCTCCATGCTATCGGAAAACCCTTTGAGTTGCGCGTGTAGGACATGACACACTGCTACCTGCGCGCGATGAGCCCGATCCATGTCAAATGTGCGGGTTTATCTCGTTTATGCGGCTTGGCTGACTCGTTTGCAGACCTCAAGAACATGGGCGTGCGGGCGTCGATGTCTCTCGTGCGTATATCTTTCCTTCCATCCGCATACACGCTATTCCCCCCGCTGACCCGCCCCGCCCCGCCCCGCCCACAGTCGATCATGGTGTTCGGACAGCTCTGGGGCCTCGTGACGTGCCACTCGTACGGCGCGCACGGGATGCGCGTGTCGTTTCCGGTGCGGCAGATGCTGCGCCTCGTCAGCCAGAGCATCTCGCGCAATATCGAGCGCCTGAGCTACGCGCAGCGGCTTACCACGCGCAAGATTGTGCGTCCCCCCTTCCACGTGCGCGCAGGCGAAGCTGACTGGGGGCTACAGATCAACACGCTAGCGTCGGAGAGCCACCCGGTGAGTGTGCCGTGTCCGACTTGGGGCGAGGGCTTATTCAAAGTAGACGGGGTACATTGTAAGCAACGTGGACGACCTGCTGGGGCTGTTCGACGCGGACTTTGGCGTGCTCGTCGTAGGTTTCTTTCACCTTTGCGCGCGGCGGGCAACTAACAGTAGTAGATTGGGGGAGCGGCGAAGATGCTGGGGCCGAATGAGCGCGGGCAGGAGATCCTCATCATGGCGGAGTATCTGCGTTTGAAGCAGTTTACGTCGGTATTCGTCTGTTACGTACGAAGCGTGTGCTGACGTGGCCACAGCACGATCCAGGTCTCGCAGGCCGTGTCGGCGGACTATAAGGACCTGACGCTCTCGGCGGGGCTCGAGGTCGTCGCGGGGATGCTGTGCGTGCCGCTCTCGAGCGAGGGCAAGGACTTCATCTGCTTCCTGCGCAAGGGGCAGCTGCGGCACATCCACTGGGCGGGGAACCCGCACGCGAAGGCGAGCGGCGCGGACCCGGTGCTGGAGCCGCGCACGTCGTTCGCGGCGTGGAGCGAGACGGTCGTGGGGCGCTGCCGCGTGTGGACGGACGAGCAGCTCGAGGCGGCGGGCGTGTTCGCGCTGATGTACGGCAAGTTTATCGAGGTGTGGCGACAGAAGGAGAACGCGCTGCAGGCGACGCGGCTCACGAACCTGCTGCTGTCGAATGCGTCGCATACGGGTGTGTCGCGCGCGATGTCTGGCCGGCGCTTGCTCATTCCTTTTGGTAGTCCGGACACCGTTGAACCATATCATCAAGTGTGTTCGTTCGTTGAATGCGTTTGTTTTGCTAACCGTGGCGGCAGACATCTCGAGATGGCGCTCAACGCCCCCCTGGACGACGAGACTCGCGACAATCTGAACAGATCGCACGCTGCGTCCAAGGTTGGACAGGCCGTTAAATTCAAGTGTCACGTTGATCGGCTCGATAGAGCCTGCTGTTTACGATCAACGACCTGCTGGACCTCACGCGGCTCGAGAGCGGCAACGAGACGTCGTTCAACGAGCCCTTTGACCTGCAGGCTGCCATCGAGGACGCGACACACCTCTATCGCAAGGAGGCGCAGCGGCGGAATATCGCGTTCAAGATGGAGCTGGAGAAGTCGCCTAAGATCGTCGTCGGCGACGCTAAAAAGATCCGGACCGTGGTCCAGAACTTGACTGCGAACTCATGTGTGTCTTCCGTCCTCTAAACAGGGGCCACGTCTGAGTTATCTTTCTAGTAAAATACACGACCAGTGGCACGATTACTGTGGGATGTACGACTTATGGGGAGCCCGAGGGCCTGCGGGGTCCCCGTCAGACTGCGGTAGAAATCGTGGTAGCCGACACAGGGTGTGGGATCACGCCGGAGCGACTCGGGAGCATATTCAGAGAGTTCGAGCAGGTCGAATCGATGGACCTCAGGGGCGTTGGTGGAGGCGGGGTGGGCCTGGGCCTTGCGGTGGTGGTCAGGATCGTAGAGCAGTGCGTTGATTATTGTCGGTCTCCGCGAGCAGTGCTGACGGGGATTACAGGCTCGGGGGCCAGCTGCGGGTCGAGTCTAAAGTGGATGAGGGGAGCCGGTTCTCGTTTTTGATTCCTCTGGCATTGTCCGTCGAGGGCGACGCGCAATCCATCGGAAGCGACGTGCCTTCCTTCGAAGGCGACATGCAGGCCATCGAAGCCGTGCAGTCCATTGAAGATGTGCAGTTCATTGCAGGCAACTTGCAACCATCGACTCCTGCGATGAAGTCCCTCACCATTCGTCTGCGCAAGGAGAGTGAACCGTCGTCGGTGGAGGAAATTGTGCTGCTTGTGGATGCGCTTCCGGCGAGTTATGTAGGGCCCCAGCCCCTCTTGCGCCCAGGGCCGTCCTCCCCCCATCGTCTCCCCGGCTCATTCATTGCCGTCCCCGGGGTGCTCAGTGTGCCCGACTTGATTACGCTTGTTCCACCCATCAAGGTCGATAACGTTGTGGTCGATGCCCCTGCTTTCAATTTGCGACCTACTCCCGCTGTACGCGAGGCTGCCCTCGCGCTCTCTCAAGCATCGGAGTCTTCCATCAATTGGCCCAGGGCCCAGTCCCCCCAGGATGACCCCGCGAAGCTTCGGGTGCTCATTGTTGAGGTCGGTAGTAGGCTTGTAATCAAAATTAGAACCGATATTAACGGAATGCAGGACAATCATATCAACCGGACAGTTTTGGCCAAACGGCTTCGCCTCGATGGGCACATTGTTGTGACGGCGACCAACGGCCAGGAGGGCTTGGACAAGGTCACGTCGGACAGGGCGTTCGACGTCATTCTCATGGACATCCAGTTTGCCTCTTTATCTTCAACGAGTCATTTGCTTGATCCTGATTTCATCCACAGGATGCCGATTCTGGACGGTTACGGAGCCACCGAACGTATCCGGGTTGTAGAAAAACTAACCCCGCAATCCGCCAACCTACGTCTGTCCACCCGCGTCAACGGTGGGCACATCCCCATCTTCGCCGTTTCGGCCAGTCTTCGGGAGCACCGGCGCGAGGAGATGGCAAACTATGGCCTCGACGGCTGGGTCCTGAAGCCCATCGACTTTAAGCGCTTAAAGATCATCCTGCACGGTGTTACAGATTCCGCGCAGCGTGCGCGAGATCTTTACCATGCAGGCTGCAGTTGGGAGGCTGGCGGGTGGCTCGTTGACCAGCCAGATCCATCCTCGTGATTCGATAGTTTCATGGACTCGCAGTATAAGAACCAGATGGAAACGAGGAGCGGGACGGCGCTGAAGTTACCGCCCCCCATCGGGATGAGCCCGTAGTTATACCTCGACGTGCCACTTGAGCGCGTAGACGAGGTCGTTTCTCTATCTTCTGCGGAGGGCCGCGGCAGGCAGCGAGGTGAGGGAGATTGCCTGTGCAGCTAGCTGGTCGTGGATCCGGTGGTGTATATAGTACCGGCATCACGGCGGGGCTTCTGGGAGAAGGACTGGGGCATACATATATGCAAGATGGGCGGTCACTTGCCTTGAGCAATAGATTGAAGTAGCCCTACGTGTCCGTGACTAAAGATCTCTGAGAGGCAGAGATATTCGTTGTAGGGTAAAGTATGTTTCTCTTGATAGGAAGATACAGGTCCACCCAACGTCCGCCCACTGCTACTATCGGCCTCTTCAGGTTGCACAGTATCGGGAGCGGACAAAAAAATCAAATTAGAGCTACAGAAGGCGGAGAAGGGGCAAAATTAGGGACGAGCCGGTATCATTATAGCATCTGTCTTGGAGAGATCAAGTCAAAGTGTGCAGTTGCGGAGCTATGTATCTGTTCGCGGACGTCGGAGCGGATCGCAGTGGAAGTACGAGAAATTCAAGAAGATAGTCATACAGTATCTGCTGGTGTGCTGATAATCCTCTGTAAGCGCCAGCTCTCATCGCTCTGATGGTCTAGTAGAATGATACGTGCTTTGGGCGTGCGAAAGTTTGCTGTGCACGGGGTCCCGGGTTCAAATCCCGGTCAGGGTCGCTTTTTGCTTAATTCCAGCGTTTGTACAAGAGTTGAGAACATTCTAAGGACCCTTGCAGAATATTTTCTCGAAGATTGTCCGACCCCCCTCACCCTCAGAGTAACACCTACACCATGAAGGAGAGCACATTGTTTGAAGGAAAGAGAGAATCGGTTGACCGAAAATAATGTAGGAAGCTATCCTCCGTAGCGAAAATACCGGTGGAAAGAATCCGTGGCGTAGTAGCCGTACAACAGATCCTGCAACGGCACAGTGGGACGTAGCCGGGCTTCCACTTTATACTGTCTCACTTCCTGGCATGTTTTCAAATGTGATTATACAAGAAAAGAGAGGTGTTTGACGCGCCAAACACGGTCTATGCAGGCGAGCACACACGCGTCGCGTCTTCCCCTTTCAGTTCCCTTTATCTCACTTTATATATATATGCCTCTTTCATTCCATAGCTCTTCGTCCTCTTCTTCTACCTACACTCACACGACTCGATAGGTACTAGCGATGTCCTCTTCTTCTACCTACACTCACACGACTCGATAGACTAGATTTTCTTTCTGTCTTTGAGGACATCGAGTAATCATTGCAACGGGTCACTGGAAAAACCAGCATCGCATTGGCGGTCGTTTCGCGCGCCGACCGCCGCCCATCTCCGAGCCACTCACTACCTCCTCCTCGGAGTCGTCGCCTATCGCGTCCCTCACCCCATCACCAGTCCCGTCCCGCGCTCCGTCGCCATCAGCGGATCACCACGCGGATCCGGAGCCTTTCATCGAGGACCTCTCTTTCAGCCTTGACAACTTCCACTTCGACGCGATGGCCGACCCGGTGAACCCTTCTACCCCCGCGGCTCCTGCTCCTGCCTCCCTCACACCCGAACTCATGGCCACCTTCGCGGCTTTCGCCGCCATGTTCGCACAGCAGCAGAACCAGCATGCATTACCGCCTCCACCGCCGGTTGTCCCGCCTTTCACAGGCTCGGATGCTACAACGGAGTTTGGAGGTAAGTCGCTGCCCGCCCTATTTCCCTCCATCGATTCCAAGATTATCTTGGACATCGTCTCGCACTCGTTCATGCCACTGGACCTGCCGCGTCTGCTATCGCCACTCGCCGCTCGACAGGACTACATTGCCCCACCCTCGTCCGCTCCATCCACTGAGCATGCCCTCGCGCTCAAGCATTTTCCCTCGTTCAATGCCCTTCTTCGCCCATTGCTCAAGTACTTCGAGGTGCTCGGAGCCTTCGCAGCGTCTTCCGGGAAGCCTTGGGAGGTCTTCGCCATCACACGCTCCCTCTCAGATTACGTCTCGCACCTCACGGAGCTCCACCAGCAGTACAAGTGGTCCGCGGTTGTGATCTATCATGTCGAATTTCACACAATCCGGCTGTGGGACATGAAATCGGGCATCTACTCGGGGTGGGCTCGCCCTGATCACAACCTCCTGTCGCGCATCGTCTACATGCACCCTCTTCCCCCGCCGTCGTCGAGCCCCCACTCTGCCGCCAAAGCGTCCTCCCCTAAGACAAAGAAGACATCGTCGCTGCCAGTGGAGCAGCAAGTCTGCTACGACTGGAACAATGGTATCTGCAAGTCGTCGCCTTGCCCGTCGAAGCGCCGGCACGTCTGCCGTTCGTGCGAAGGAGACCACGCAAGCACCGCCTGCCCCAAGAAGACCTAGGTCTTCGGCAGAGCGAGCCGTCGAGCTCGCGCGCACGCTGCTCGGCTCGCTCGCTCGGGCCTGCAGTCCCCGGTTCTTACTCCGTCACCTGCCACCTCGTCACGGCCCCCTCCCCCTTTCCAGTCTTGTCTCCCTCACCAGCTCCTTTTCCCTCCGCTACCACTTCCACCGCTGCGCCCTAATACCGACCCGCGCCGCAACTCCCCTCTACCCCCTAATCACGGCCAGCCGCGCGTCTCCTCGTCTCTGAATCGGAGCGCTTGGGATTTCTATTTAGAGGACTATCCTGACCGCACCTTTGTATCATCCTTACTCCAAATAATAGATTTCGGTTGCGACATCGGATTTTCTGGCCCTGAACTCAGCCAACCGGTCAAGAATCTCAAGTCCGCTCGGGCAAACAGTCAATTTCTGTCTGACGCACTGTCCACCTTAGTTGCGAAGGGTGCTGCCGTTGGGCCCTTTCCAATCCCACCCTTCCCTGAGCTCCGTTGCTCACCTCTCGGTGTTGTTGAGCGCAAGCGAAAGCCTGGCAAGCTTCGCATGATCAACCACCTCTCCTGGCCGCGTGGCTCCTCCGTCAATGACGGTATTCCCGACGTTGAAGCTCACATTTCATATGATATGTTTGAGCGCGCCGTCTCTGACCTCCGCCTTTCCGGCCGAGGCTCCTTGATGGTCAAGTTAGACCTCAAGGATGCATTCCGCCACGTCCCTATTCGGGCCGCGGACCATCACCATATGGGCATGTTCTGGGACGGCGGTTTTTACTACGCAATTGCTCTCATGTTCGGCCTTCGCTCTGCTCCGTACATCTTCAATCTTTTCTCCGAAGCTCTGCACTGGATCATTTCCCGTCACATCCCGGCTCGTCTTCGTCACTATCTCGACGACTTCTGGTTGGTCTTTCATCCAGAGACTGACCCCGCTATTGCGCGTGCAGCGGTGGAGTGGATCCTGGCTCTTGGGGAAGAGCTCGGGCTTCATTTCCAGGAGGAAAAGACTTTTTGGCCATGCTTGCTCCTTGACTTCCTTGGTCTTGATTTGGACTCGGACGCGATGGAGGCTCGCTTGCCCGAGGACAAGCTCTTGTACCTTCGCGATTTGTTGAGCAGCTGGGGCCGCAAGTGCACTTGTTCTGTGATGCGACACGGTTCGCACGGGCTTCATCCGAGGTGAAGGGTAAGGTGGGCGACGCAGCAGCCTTAGTAGGCGCTCGCGTCGTCCCCTAAAGGTATAGGTGGGGTAGGAGGCCGCCGTCTTGGGCGCCTCCTCTTGCGTTGTAACCCTTCGTCGAGGGACCTCTTGACCCTTGATGGGGACCCGGCGACCCTGGATGGGGGGAGTAGTTGGCCGCTTGCTCAGGCCTCTGGTTGGGTCGGTCGGGGGGGTCCCTCGTAGGCATCTTGTTACTCCATGTACGGCGAGTTGGAGTTGAGAGTCAGAGTAGAAGATGATATGATTAGGTAATAGTATCGTGACTACTAGTGACTCGTGACTAGAGAGGTCACGAGCCTTTTGGGCGTGTAAGTACAATATGTAGAAGTAAGTAAATCAGGCACTAGGCCGTGTAATGCATAAGACAGGCGTCACAGAGCCCCCCACACGGCCGGTGCTCACCGGAAAAGAATTCTACCCCGCAAACGGTGCAATGTCCTCGTCGTTGTTCCCATCGTTCCACCCCGGCGCATCCAAGTCCATCAGGTCCTCCTCATCCTCCGCGTCGGCCACGACCGCCAATGTCTGTATCCAGGAGATCTGCGACGTATCCCCCGTCGCTTCTGCTTCGTCCAGTATCGCCTGTGCTTGAGCTCGATACTTCTCGCGCCGCTCCGCGGCCTTCGTCTCCTGTATCTTTGCCAGGCGACCCGAACGCTTGCCCCTCTTGGGTCGGACCTTGACGGCCGGCAGGTCTTCCAGCTTGGTCGCGGAAGAAGACGCCGTCGGCCTATCGTCGTCCTCCATGGGCATTGGACGAAAGCGTTTGGGCGGGGGGGGTCGCTCGTCGGGCGTCTGAGACAGCGGGGTGTCCGAAGGGCCCTGGCGATGGGCTAGTCGTTCGGCCAGCGGCGGGGCGGCGCTAGTAAGGCGCTGCGCTAAGGGCACCGCGAAGCTCATACGCGCCGCTAAAGACGGTGCAGACCCCGGCGCGTCAGAAAGCCGCGCTTCCAAAGGAACAGAGGCGCGCCGAGGCGGGTCCGTCAGGCGACTGGCCAGCGGCAACCTCATTGCTCGAGGAGCCGTCGGCGGTGGACGTGCTGTAGGGACGACGGGGGGCGTGGGCGAAGTCGCCCGGTCCACCGTGCGGGGCCCCCTGGACTCCGACGACGACGATGGGCCAGTGCACGCCGGCGGCTGAGGCGCCGCGGTGGTCGCAACCATGGCCGGCGGCGCTGCTGGGGCCTCGGGCGGGGGCGCGTGCGACGGGCTACGGAGCGGGGAGGACGGTGGCGGATTGAGGGCGGGCTCAGGCGAGACGCGAGGAGTAGGAGGCCGCTGCCTTGGGAGGTCAGCGGCCAGGCTGGCGGCCCTGGCGCGTGGGGGGCTGGCCATCGGAACGTCCGGACTAGGAACCATGACCGCCGGGTTCGCTGCCACTGAGGGCTGCGCTCCCTCAACGTTCGTAGGGGGACTAGCCATCACAACGTCCGGGCTACTCGCTAGGACCGCCGGGTTCGCTGCCACCGAGGGCTGCGCTCCCTCAACGGCCGTAGCTCTGCCTGGCGCGGCTGACGATGGGTTCGCTGCCACGACGGGCTGCGCTCCCGTGCCGGGCGTCTCATAACGCCAGACGTCGCGTGTCCGAGCCGCTGCATCCCTCAAGTCCGCCACCGATGCGTACGACGCTGAAACGTCACTACGCATCTCCGCCAGCGCTCCAAACCCTCTTACGCCCTCTCGCACCGAGCCGAAGCGCAGCCACGCTCGCCCTTCCGCAACTACGACTTCGAGGGCGCGCGAGTGTACGCGGAACAGTCGGTCCGCAGTGTCGTCCCTGAAGTCCTCCGCTGTGACGCCGGCGGGCAAGCCGTCGAGAACTAATACCTCTGATGGCGGCGCCCCAGACATGGGGTCGTCCGAGTCACCGTAATCCGACTCGTCGTCGCTTGCTGGTAGAGCTCTGCCCTTGCCTTTGTCCCGGGACGGTAGTGCTCCCTCGCCTCTAGGCTCTTTCTTGACCTGTGCCGAATCCCATGGAGGCAACTGATGCGCCGGCGGCGTCCGCATCGTCCGCCCCTCGTCGCCCCTGATCCCTTCCCGGGAGGGGTACATCCAATGCGAAGGTCGATGAGGCAGCCCTTGCTGGCCGGTATTGTAGAAGAACGG